ATAATAAATTAATAATCGAAGAAAACTGATAGAAGTTATACTAATAATCGAAGAAAAGTTATAATTGTAAACTTTCATCGTAATTTTAATTTTTCCACACATTTAACAAAATATTAAAAATTCAATTCAGAAATAACTGTTTTTATTAAAATCAACTTCGCCTTTAAATAAAACTATCATCGTCTGCCCATGTCGTTTCGGGACAGTTTAAAGCCCAAATCCTCAAGCGTTTGCCAAGGAAAGCTCTGTAATCGACAGCTGAGCTGCTAGTTTATGTATGAGCTCTACTCGTCTGATTATTATTCGCAAGAAAATTTGATTTGATATCTCCAATTTATTGGGATTTATTCCTTACAACGCTTGCAATGACAAAAGTCTATAATGGTTTCCCAGAGATATTCCAAGAATCCTATTAAAGTCGACAACATTTTTTACGGATTAAATAAAAATATGTGTGGTAGTTTCATAGAGTAGATGGAAAGATAGAAGCAGTCTCTTTCATTTTTATTAAGGATTCCATTACAATATTTTTAGATATGCATGGCCATTTGATAGCAGTTGTTTTTTTTTATCTTTTCGGGAATAGTTTTTATTATATTATTTTCTTTTTATGAGCTATATCTTCATTTCTAACGATTTATTAAAGTCTATTTACTGAACTAAGAGGCATTTCGGATAAAGTTAAATAAGTAATGCTCAACTGGTTAACAAAAAACAATATTTGAATTAATAATTTGGGTAAGTAGTGGCAATTGACTTTAAATTCTAAAAGTAGACAAATTTAAATTTTATTACTACGAAATTGGTTGATACAACACAAAAGGATATAATTATCGTCAAATTACACAAATAGTTTTTCACTATGATATACGCTTTACACAAAACGTATTTCATAGTGTTAGTATGATAGACAATGAAACAAATCATATTATAAATAGTTATAAGAGCATTTTTTTAGGTGTAGGAAAGGCCAATAGGTATTTTAATATAACTTTATCTAGTGATGCAGTGCCATTCATAAGTAGGACACGAAAAATTCCACTGGCTATAAGGAGCCAAGTTAAAGATAAACTTGATGATATAGTACGTAAAAACCTCATCATACCAGTTAGTGAACCCATAGAATGGCAAAATCCTATTTTAGTTGTTCTGAAAAATAAGAGATCTGATATTAGAATATGTATGGATCCTGTGTATCTAAATAAATATGTTAAAAGAGAAAAGTTTCCAATTCCAACTCAAGATACTTTATTTGCTAAGTTTTCAGGGCTTTCACAAAATCATTCAAAACAAAAAATCCAATTAAATATAATGAAACTGATCGATTACTAAAAAAGAGAATAAAAGAAGCTAACGAGAGAATGTTACATGAGCAGTGCCAAGACCTAGAAGAAATTGAGAAAAAATATGACTTTTTTAACATGCATAAAAGAATTAGAGAATTAACAGGAATGAGAAAAACACTTCAAACTAGGTAACTAAGAGATGAAAGGGGTGCACTTATAACAGATATAAACCAAAAAATGCAAAGATGGACACAATATATAACACAACTTTTTGAAGAAAAGAGAGAACAGAAGCACCAAAAGAATTTAAGGATGATATTGGGCCTGACATTATAGAAGAAGAAATTCAATATGCAATGAAACAAGCTAAAAGTGGTAAATCTCCCGGGCCTGATCAAGTTCCTATCGAATTACTTAAAATTGTAAATACTGAATCTATTGATCTTCTTTTGGATCTATTCAATACCATATATAGAACAGGTATAATACCTAAAGAATGGCTCCAATCAACATTCATACTGCTTCCCAAAAAACCCAATGCAAAGGAGTGCAATGAACATCGCACCATAGCCTTAATTAGTCATGTCTTGAAATTTTTTTTAAAAGTAATTCACAATAGAATACATAAGAAATTAGATGAAAGCATAAGTAATACACAAATGGGATTTAGGAAAGGACTGGGAACACGAGATGCACTGTTTGCAGTAAGTGGTCTTTTGCAGAGATGCTTAGATATTAATCAGGAAGTATATGCCTGTTTCATTGATTTTGAGAAGGCATTTGACAGAGTGCAGCATAATCGACTTAAAGAAATTTTATTAAATAAAAACATAGACAGTAGAGACATTAGAATCATCTGTAACCTCTATTGGAATCAAACAGCAAAAGTGAAAGTTGAAAACGAACTGACCAAGGATTATCCAGATTCGCCGTGGGGTCCGCCAAGGGTGTATTTTATCAGCCTTGTTATTCAATTTATACAGTGAAGCCATCTCAGAATTAGCGCTTACGAGATCAGTGAAGGCCTTATAATAAACGGTGAGCCACTTAATAACATAAGATATGCTGATGACACCGTCCTTCTGGCAGGAACACTAGAAGAACTGCAACAATTTGCTGAACAACTAAATATATATTGCAACGATTATGGACTAAAAATCAATTTGAAGAAAACCAAGTTCATGGTATTTACAAAAGCACAAAACATCAAAGTTAAGCTAGTACTACATAATACAGAAATTGAACAAATATCTTCGCACAAATACTTTGGAGCATGGATCACAGAAGATACTGATCAGACAAAAGAAATAAGATGTCGCATTGAAATTGCGCGGTCAACTTTTAATAGAATGAGAAAACTTTTTTGTAATCGCGGTATCAATATATCGCTCCGGATAAGAATGCTTCGATGTTATATTTTCTCTACTCTTTTGTATGGAGTTGAAGCTTGGACACTTAAAAAATCTAACATTAAAAACCTAGAAGCATTCGAAATGTGGTGTTACCGACGTATTTTAAAAATATAATGGATGGATCGCAAAACAAACGAACAAGTTCTCGAACAACTAGGAAAACAATGCGAAGTTTTAAATTCCATAAAAATCAGGAAATTGGAATTCTTGGGGCACATCACGAGAGGTGAAAAGTACGAACTACTAAGGAATATAATGCAGGGTAAAATCAAAGATAGAAAAAGCGTAGGAAGACATACAATCTCGTGGCTACGCAATCTCCGTGAATGGTTTGGGTGCAGTTCAATTGAACTATTCAGGCGAGTAACCAATAAAATTATAATTGCCAGAATGATTTCCAATCTCCGATAGGAGTGGAACTTGAAGAAGAAGAAAATGCATCATCTGCTTTTCTTCAGTTGCCTTTGAATTATGAAAGTTTACTTTTATGTACTTTTACTACCCCTTTTGGCCATTATAGATATCTGAGATTACCATATGGTCTTACCTGTGCACCTGAAATTTTTCAAAAATATATGTCTGAACTTTTATATAGTGTATCAGGAAACAGTAAGGTTTTTTGATTATATTTTGGTTTTTGGATGTTCTAAAAGTAAACATGAAAAAAATTTGTAATGTGTTTTAGAAAAAATTAAACAGAGTGGCTTAACTTTGAATTTAGGGAAATCTAAATTTTGTCAAACAAAAGTAAAATTTTTAGGTCATCAAATTAGTAATATTGGCATTTCGCCTGATCATGATAAAACAGAAGCTATTACAAAAACGACACCACCAAATAATCGAAAAGAATTACAACGTTTTTTGGGAACCATCATAGTAATTATGTCTTGCAAAATTTATACCAAACCTGTCAGAACACTAGTTCTCTAAGATATTTACTTTCTAGTAAAAATAGGTGGCATTAGGGACATAATGAACAGGCATGTTGTAATAAATTAAAGAATCTTGTGGCGTCAGCCACTACTTAGTGTGTTATTTTAACCTCGACAATTTTAAAAGACAATACTCTCTGTTGATGCCAGCCCATATGGTTTGGGGGCCATGGTCTCGCAATAAGGGTGTCCAATTGAATTTGCATCAGTGTCATTAACTCCAACCAAAGGAGATATAACCACATTGAAAAGGAGCTTCGTGGTATAGTATATGGATGTGAAAGATTGTCATTATATCTTTATGGTATAGATTTGAAATAGAGACAGATTTCAGACCTCTTTTAGGTTGTTAAAAAACCTTAGATGAAATGTCACCTAGGATCTAAAGACTCACAATACAATTAATGCGATATAAATTTTTACTCAAATATGTTCATGGTAAGAATCTCAAAGTTCCTGACAATTTAAGTAGAGATCCTTTGAATAAAACCATAAATTATAATTTTATAGATGATGAAATGAATTTGAAAGTATCTTTCATTGTAGCAACATCAAAAGAAAATGAAAAAAGATTACAAAATGCAATTGATACTGACCCATCTTTATAAAATTTAAAAATCTCGTCTTAAATGGGTGGCCTAAGCATAAAAGCTCTGTACATTCTGAGGTGAAAAATTCTGGTCTGGTAGACCAGAATATATATTTAATAAAGAATGTATTGTTTTATAAAAAAAGGTTAATTATTCCTAAAGAATTGAATGGTGAATTTCCTAATGTTATACATTATTTTCATCAGCTTGTAGTATCATGTAAGAAGAAGGCTCAAGAAGCAATTTATTATCCGGGATTGATGAAGGATATAGAAAACATTGTTCTGAACTGTCTGACTTGTTTGCAATTGTTAACGAACTAATAAATAAAACGGCTAGCAATATTGTAACACAATTAAAAAATATGTTTGCTATTAATGGACTGCCTTGTGAAATATTTTCTGATAATGGTTCCCCATTCAGTTCTCATAAGTTTTTAAATTTTTTCCGTATTTATAATATTTGAGGAACACCATCAAGTGCGCAATATCCTTGTAGCAATGGAATGGTGAAAAGAACAATGCAAACAATAAAAAACTGGTTTTTACAATCTGTACAAACTAAGAAAGATCCAGTTCTAACTGTATTAGATTATAATACAACTCCAAAACAAAATTTACCTGCTCCTAGTGTGTTGCTAACTGGAAGAAATTTCAGAACCAACTTACCAGTCTGTATAGAATTTCTAAAACCCAGACATTCTCATAAAAGATATTTTACACAATTATGAGTTAAACATTGACCAAATTGCAAGAAGACTACATTAACATTGTAACGAAAATGATGAGTATTGTGTTTTCACTGAAGCAGAAGCTGAATATGTATAATAAAGAATTGTCAGATGAAGATTATTCCAGTTTTCCTTCCGTTAAAGCACTGTTTGATGAAAATCCAGATGAAAGTCAAGAGATTTCTTACCTACTGAAGTTGTTAGCAGACCTAGATGATTCAATTTCTGTGAAGTTTAGTGACTTCGAGAAGTTCTAAGAACCATTTCACTTGGTGAAAAACCCATGGGTAATAATAACAGTAAATGTAGCTCATCTTTCTATTTTTGGATATGAAGCTAGGGATTTGAAAATAAGTTAATTGATCTTCAGAATGATACAGGGCTCAAAAGTATTTTTGAAGAAAAAAAAAGGAAAAAGCTAACTATAAGTTTTGGGAAGCAGTTGAAAATGACAAGTTTCCTAACTTAATTGACTGTGTTTAGAAAATTTTGTGTATTTTTGCATCTACATATATCTGTGAATCTACATTCAGTAAGCTAAAGTTCATAAAAAACAAGTACAGATCTAGGTTAACTAGTGAGAACGTTGAAAACATTTTGAGAATTTCAGTTTATTCCCAACTTGCTAACATAGATGCCATTCTAGAGAACTGTGAAAGATTTCGCTCGTCGACTTCAAAGAATTAACAAATTCAGGACTTGACATTCCTAAAGTCAAGTAAAAGACATTTTCCTACTTTTTATATGCAAAACAGTCCATATAATTTATAATTATATTGTTTTTACGTAACTTGTAACAAACTTATGTTATAGTCATATAGTTTTAAATTTATTTCATACCACCACTTGTACTTGCTGCCCTGAGGAAAATTTCATTTAAACTATTAGGCTCTCAAAGAAATCCAAGTGAGAATCCTTGAATGACGTGGAAAATGACATAAAAAGTATAAAAATAAAATAGTGGAAAGGGAAATGCTGAAAAAGGAAGAAATGGAAAAAGAAATCGAAATCAGTTTAAATTCGTAATAAAATATAACAAAAATAGAGAGAAAGGGAACAAATCAACCTCAGAATATCTGCCGATACTCCAAATAAATTATACTGCAATGCTTTCTGATGAATTATTTATATTATTGGCGAATGGAGCTGATATTAGCAATATGTTTTTCATAAGAAAAAATCCAAGTTACAGCTTTTGTAGTACGTCATCTTGGATAATAAAATTGGTTTCTACACACTTTCCATAAATATAATTAAGTCACACCTTTTGAAGGCACGTTCCTTTTTTATTGGTTCATTGTTTTATCAAATGATATTTCTGTTTACTCACCTGCAAAAAACAATACATTCAGCAGCTATTCGTTTGTGGTCTGACTAGTAACAAACAGTCGTACCCCAAATTACTGATTTACCAATAAAAATGTAAGAACTTTAAACTAGTTTGACTGATAAGACCAATGAAAAACCTGTCCAAATATATGTAGCGTTTTGGGTGTTGTCGATTTATGAAACTGGTTTTGATGGGACGAATCACATTAGCAGTTACAGTTTTATCTATACTATATACTATACTAAAAAACCTGTCTCAAATTTATTTGACCTAGTTTTGGGTGTTGCCAATTTATTTGGGTATTGTCGATTGATACGAATCACAGTGGCAGTTACTTTTTATAGAATAATTTTAGTTTTAAGAGGAAATCAGCAATTTGTGTCAGTTTCGAGGGTTTTTATTAAGAAAATATGAATTAAATTTGTATTTAAATAGGCAAGAAAATATTTAAATGTAAATATTCATTGAGTGATAAGATAACGGCAAAATTTGATAACTGTTTTATTCTTCTTAAAATAAAATAAAGAATACCATTTTTTTGTATTATACTATTTTCATTATTATCCTTTTTCTCTATCCCGATAAAGGACAAATAGGAAATCTTTGGACCCACAAAACATAGGCTAATATAAAGAGATTTTTCACCCTGAGATCAATTAAGTTATGTTTTTGATTTGCTTAATTAATCAAGTAAAAAAAGTAATATCATAACAATACATATTTTCGTATGCAATTGTTACAATATACAGGGTGAGTTATGAGGAACTTTACATACTTCTACCATATGTAGAGTCCCTCAGGGGATATCATGTGGCCACTAAAAAATGTCAACTCCTCTTCTTTATTAATTAACAGGGTGATTTGTGTAGTTGACCATTTATTTCATTTTACTGTAGTGTTTATACGGCTCATTTGATTTTTTTAATTTTTGCATGATACAGTACACTACTATCAAGCATTCGACTGGTATTAGCTAAACTAAAAAATTCCAGGACTGGCTTTGGAAAAATTAATTTAGGGATTCGTATTAAATATTACACCCTGTATATATATATTTTTTTAATGCAATAAGTGATTTTCAAACTACATAAATAGCCAATGAAAACGACATATTCCACAATGTTGTCGCACTTTTATTAAATTTTTAGTGAACGATCAAATCTTACCAAAAATAGAACAACCATAATGAAGTATCAAATTATAAAGTATTAATTTAAACAAATGTTATAAATTTCAAACATTTTAATTAAAATGAGTTCCTACAACACAATCTAATAGGTAGAAAATTAACATCTTTACTGTCACTTTGTATTAGTAGATAGAATCAATTGTTATTCAATTTTAAATTTTTACTCATCGATCGTAAGGGGGAATTATTTTCGATAAATAATAAATTAAATTGATTAAAAAGTCAAACCTCTTGTATGTGTTAGTTTTTGTTGATTGTAAATGATTAAAATTCTATGTCAAATAATAATACATTGCATCAACTGTACTAAATAAAAATAAATCTAAAAAAGTTTAAAATGAAGGTTGGCGTTGACCGTTTGACGTTTCTTGATATTTTATACCCATTGTCATTATTGTCATTATCAATTGTTATTTATGTGTACAAGAATACATATTTCTTCTGTCATATCTACGTTAAGTACATTGTTGTAGTTTTGGTAGAGCTTTTGTTACTTTCGTTCAAAATGCCACATCAGTTTTCGACCACAGAATATGCAGACATAATATTTGTTTATGGATTTTGTAATGGGAATGGTAGGACTGCTAGTAGAGAATATCGCAGGAGATTTCCCAATCGTCGAACTCCCAGTCATCCAACATTTGGGTCAGTTTTTAATTATTTGTAGCGACGATTTGTATAACAACAGAGCGACATGTAGATGAAGCGCAGGAAGATGACATTATGGACGCCGTTACTATGAACCCTACAATAAGCACTAGACAAGTAAGTCGAGAACTCAATGTTACTCAATCAAAAGTAAGTGGAGTCTTACAAAAAAATAATCTATACCCATATCACATTCAACTGGTTCAGCGACTACATGCTGGAGATGAGATCGATAGGTTGGAATTTTGTAGATGGATTAACAATAATCGACCAACGCTATACAGGACACTATTTACAGATGAAGCCCAATTTACTAGAGACGGGATAAATAATTGACGAAATTCACATGTGTGGGCAGAAGAAAATCCCCATGCTATTCGAGAACGTCGTTCTCAGTTAAGGTTTTCGGTTAACGTGTGGATTGGTGTCATAAATAACCAATTAGTAGGTCTTCACTTTTTTGATGGTCCTTTAACAGACCAGGTCTATTTGAACTTTCTACAAAATATTTTGCCGAATTTGCTTTCCAATGCGAACGTTGTTATCCGAGGGATGTATTTTCAGCATGGTGGGGCACCTCCACACTTTTTACTGGCAGTGAGACAACATCTCAATAATGTTTATGGCAACAGGTGGATAGGACGTGCAGGTCCTATTTCGTGACCTTTAAGATCCCCTGATTTCAATCCCGTTGATTACCATATTTGGGGACGATTAAAGCAACTAGTTTACGCAATGAATATTAATAACAGACAACAATTAATTGATAGAATTATACATTGTTGTAATACTATTAGAAAACGATCCCCAGAGTATCCGTAATTCAATACGTCAATTAACAATTCGGCAACAAAAATGTGTACAGGCTGCAGGGTTCTATTTCGAAAATCTATTTTGAATTATTTTTATTTTGTTATCATTATTGTATCTTTTCCAGTTCTAATTTATGTGTTTATCATAACTATGTACATATTTTTAGTTTTTTTTTAAATTGTTCTTCGTTATTGTTAGTAGTTACTGTTTTTTGTTGTGCAGTGACTCAGTTTATTATTTCAATTAAAATGTTTGAAATTTATAACATTTGTTTAAATTAAATTACCTTATAATTTGATACTTCATTATGGTTGTTCTATTTTTGGTAAGATTTGATCGTTCACTAAAAATTTAATAAAAGTGCGACAACATTGTCGCATATGTCGTTTTCATTGGCTATTTATGTAATTGGAAAATCACTTATTGCATTTTAAAAAAAAATATATGCAGGGTGTAATATTTAATACGAATCCCTAAATTAATTTTTCCAAAGCCAGTCCTGGAATTTTTTAGTTTAGCTAATACCAGTCGAATGCTTGATAGTAGTGTACTGTATCATGCAAAAATTAAAAAAAAAACACATGAGCCGTATAAACACTACAGTAAAATGAAATAAATGGTCAATTACACAAATCACCCTGTTAATTAATAAAGAAGAGGAGTTGACATTTTTTAGTGGCCACATGATATGCTCCCTGAGGGACTCTACATATGGTAGAAGTATGTAAAGTTCCTCATGACTCACCCTGTATAATATATTTATTGCCATTCGAATCGCATTTACCAACTTGGTAACTAATATTGACTAATATTGACACAATACATAATTATTATTGTTCTGAAGCTATTTTCTTGTGGCATTGTAAATTAATTACTATTTATAACTGGGAATAAGCCACAATTAAAGATAAAAATACGTTTATTGACGTTTCAATTTCCAATTCGGAAATCTTTTTCAAATTGGAAATTGAAACGTCAATAAACGTATTTTTATCTTTAATTGTGGCTTATTCCCAGTTATAAATAGTAATTAATACATAATTATGTTAAGCATTGTAATATAATTTGCCAGAAACTAAACTTTTGGTTGAAATAGAAGAAAATTATTACTCACTAACAAAAAAATGTACATTTAGCGGGATATTAATCATAAAAAAATGCTCGAATCATCCCATTTATCTTCTTCTGCGTACCCTTAGCAAAATTTAGTCTTAAGTTTTAATAGGATTTTTTCGTCGACCTATGAAGGTCAAAAAAATGCTGCTATCGCCAGCTGA